TCTGTTACTTAATTTGCCGAACTATGCACTGTCCAGTACAGGCAGACACAAATCTCGCATCGTTCCATTCTTATTTAATATATAATTTTGAAATGAATAAAGAAATCACGTACTATTAAAACCAACTCCTCATGTGTTTATTTTCGTGTAAGAGCGCCGAAAATACATGACAGATTTCGAAGAGATTCCGTATTACAATCCTACATTACATTCTGCTTTAAGTACACGTTACTTGAATGCGTAATCATTTTGATTAAACTGTGTGTGTGTGTGTGTGTGGCGCGTTTATTGGTCATGAAATTTATTAGTGCTGAAGTCTAATCAACTTTTAATTATATTTCGATATAGTTTTGGTGTAATGTATTTGTTATTCGTATTATTAACCGTTCATGTTAATATATTCTATTGTTTTGATACAGCCTATAAGAAAAGTCGCCGAACATCGTCCGTTCTCCTAGTTCCATGCGCTGTCGTTTTCGTGTTCTATGGTGGTGCACTCTGTTGATTTTAAGTGGTACCTGGTCACGTTGCAAAGCAGTGTAGCTGTCTGCTGTTGCAATAGAACGTGTTGTGACTGCTATTGATTTCTCAAGGCAGGGCTTTTGGGAGGTTATGTCACACACACAGCGTCTGTATTACTATTGTTAAAACCATAAATTGTGCGAAACAGATGCTATGAGATAGAAGGATCAGTAGCAAAAGAAATTTGTATGGTCAAAGAATACGAACCAGCGCAAATAACGGAATGTCTAAGAACAAATAATTTATGAATTTAGAAGTTGTGTAGAATAACATATTTCAGTTTATGAAGACTTTATAAAATCAAGAGGTTAGGAGACATTTTACATTGTAAATTATATACAGCTCAAATTAAACAGTCTGTGATGTATAAACAAAGTCAACACCGTCCATTTGAAACGTACTTTTCGCTAAAGAGATGCCTCTTGTCCAATGTATTTCATTAAATAAGGTGATGTGTGCGTGTGTTCTAACCTTATTTTGTCCGACCTTCTTTTTCAGTGTGCAAACATTTTTTGTTTATCATAGCCATTGTGTTTCTGGAAGTCAGAACGTCGATACACATCTTTGAGACATGTTGGCTGTACCTTGTTCTTTGCCGACGCACTACGAATCAGTATCTTATATACAGAGTGTTACAAAATTACGCAATGGTAGAAAAACTCAAAACGAAAATGTGAAAGGATGAATTGTGTACAGGGGACCGTCAGATGGGACAAGTGTATGAATCACACTGTGGGAGGACCAAATTTATAGGACGTGATATACAGCTCTTTAATACGAAATTATTCCGTGCGATACAACGGTGGACAGTGGTCGGCGGTCAGCTGCTTCTCTGCACCGTCGTACCATGCCAGGAAGACATCAGCAAGGAGAGGTAAGTAAAATTAACCTTATGTTTCACTAATACTGTGTTATGTTCGCATTTGATCTTTTGTGTTTGAACATGAACGTAATCCGGAAGCATATTTTATGGTGAGTTGAAGGAACATTTACGCGTATTTGATTGTTTTGGCGTAGGTATTACATGGCGTAAGATGTCAAAGCCGGAAACTCCTGGGTTCGTGTCTTGGTGAATATGTTTGGTTTACTGATAATAATATATTTCAAATATAAAGGATTGTGACGATGTGGTTTACACTTAATATTATTCACTATCTGGACTTTTTTCCTTCGTTCTGTCACCAGGCAGTTAGTTTTAGTTAATCGCAGCTGACTTAATAAAGAACTAATATTAATCGGCGATTGCAAATTTTCTTCAAACTTATCAAGTCGGGTAGTGTGAACAGAATGTCTCTCTTGATCCTAACGGTGGGGTAGTTCGATACGCCCCAAGAAAGCGACGTCCCACCGGTATCAGCTTCCCTGCAACACAGAATTATGTAATCGGCCAAGGCTCCATTCAGTTAGTCACATTATTTTTGTGGCGTCGTGTTCTTTGAAACAAAAGACGAATTATTTTGGCCTTACTAGTCACAGAATGTTAAAATGTATGTGTTTTGACTTCCCTCCAATAGCAAAACGTCTATACCAAATATCACGAAAATTCATTCTGCCGTTCATTAACTTTTATACGCGTACAGACGGACAAAGCGAACTCACAAGGCACTCTACAGAGATTCTGAAAAAAATTAAACCCAAAATATTAAAATACGCTGTAAACGTATTGCGTATTTTATGCTACAACGCTGTGTGAACTTGTAGGTAAGAGGAACACACTGTCTTCATCCTCAGTTATATTCTAATGCAATGTCATTAATATTTAAGTGGTGCCTACAGATGTCTGAATAGTCTAAACGTCGTTGTGTTGATGTATTATAAAGTGCAGTTATTTTGACAGACGTGTGTTATCAAGTTGAAATTCTAAATTATAAATTTCCTATTAGGAACGGATTATTTGATTTTTTTCTTAAATAGGGGCGTGTCTCACGAGACAAACTGTATATATGTGAGCAAGGCGCACTTTTGAGACTGATTCTTATTAAATAATAATTCTGCCTTCCAAGGAAAATTAACTAGGGACCATGTGAAGAAACATATATCTCAAACATCGTTGGGCTCATAGATAAATATTAAGCGTCCGCCCCAATTACCCGAAGCTCCACGTAAAGAGTCAAAAAGCTTGTTCTTTAAGATTTGTCCCAAATAAACGGCCGCCCCGATTAACCGACGGCCCAATTAACCGGAATCTGCTGTATTAACGGTAAGACTTTTCAAAGACCACAATAGTCGGGCGAATCCGTTCGTTCCACGTCCGTCAGAAGTTAATGTTAAGGGAGGGGGAGGGGGAGAGTAGCAAATAAAGAAGTATTTACTGTCAGTACTGAAAACATTAACCCCAGCTCACTGTTCTGCTTCGTACGTCGGTAATATCTTTGGTTTGCGTAGTACGTGTGTTGTTTTCCTTCTATCCCCCAACGTACGACGTAGGCGAAACGCACGGTTGGGTACCGACTACTGTACATTTGTTTTTAAATGTGTACTTGTGTCGATGGTAAAACTTGGTGTCCTGAAATATGACTGGAACCGTATTTAAAATTATAATAGTCAATCTTGATTAAAACGGCTTGCGGGCAATTCTCTCTGGCTTCTTACTTACTTAGTTGTCAGAAATGTAGTTCATTCTGTAACATATCTTGTGCTTAATATCTGTTGCACGTTCATTTGAAGTTATCAGCCTTTAAATACGAACCCAGAAAACGTTTTACAAAAACATTAAATACGTGTGGCAAGGCATTACTCAGCGCTCCACTCTAGTTGTGCACATGCGATATCACGGGCAACAATGATCGGACTTACATTGTTGACAAAACAGGACAGCAGTTCTTTATTTCTTGCAACAAATAGATGCAACTTCATTTTAAATTAAAGATAAGAATATATTTTGTTGCTTTCACTTTAGAAACGTCAAATAGATCCATCTTATTATTTTACGTAAATGCGTCTATAGGGAAGGGTCATTCGGCAAAACAGCGTTAGGTAAATGTGTAAGATCCATACCAACAATTTGTAAATATGGACCGACAACAATGGTCAGTTCTTATATGAAATCCTGCGTTCGTAACAATGCTTTACACCTTTACCTAAGAAACTAATTGTTACGTCATCTGTTTACTCGGAATTGTTGTGTTTCATTATCGCCGTCAACAATCCGCTTTCGTTATTACGTAAAGAGCTTTGCTGTGAATCGATTCTACAAGAAGTGCGTCGTAGAGCAGATAATTTTGTGCTGTTAAAAACCTTTTGGAATATCACAAGTTCTTATCTTATATAAGAATTATTAAGAAGTCTGTGCTCCTGCCCTCCACTCTCTCCATTATATTTTTTATTAAATTGATAATTGCTGGTGGACATCGAGGTCTCATACAACTGAACAAAGTTTGAGGTAAGGGATTCCAGTTTATTATTATTGTTATTATTTGCAATTGTATTTGTAATTGTCTGTGGTATCGTGAGGATTGGTGTGTAATCGTTAAACATTCACATGCCAGAAACTCCATATCTCGTTGAATCTAGAGGACTCTACTTCTGTGATGTCGGCTACCGGAGGATTTCTGTAGCCACTTTCATCCTTAAGGTAGGATAGCAACTGGTTGTATTTATGTTATGATATTGGCAACGCCCGATTGTTTGATTTTATTTGTGCTGTCACGAATACTAAACAATTTGAGGTAGAATTGCATTGAACTGTTTTCTACAGCACGAGTTTGTTGTACTTCAAATACCTTCTGCATTTATGGTAAATATTTCAACTTTACAGCAATACGAAAAAATCTCTTGAATTAATTTCGTAAATCTTTAAATCGGAAGACGGTCTAAGAAATATTTAAGAACTGCAAATAATCACTGCTTGCAGTGCAACCCATAAACACAGAATGCAGCGTTAAGACTTGCTAAAGCTTGCACGGACTACCACTCTGTTCCAAGTGTCGTCAAATCTAAGAAGTCTTCCTTGAGTTCAGTGCGTAACAGGAGCCAAAATCGCTTGTTGCTTTTCAGTTTTAATCGATGATGAACCAACTGACAAGTTTCAAGTCTTCTTATTAACTGCTGGCATCGGAATAAAGGAACGTATATTCTGTTTCTGGGAATTAAAATCGTAGATCCTGCTTTGATCAAAAGCGCCGGAAAAACGTTTTGATAGATCCGAGACATGATTTATTTAGACTAGACACATTTGAAATTTAATTGGGTAACGACTATTTTGATAAAGAAGAACAAAGAAGTTTTACTTGGCGCTAGTAGAAAGTTTGGTATGAGTGAGGTTTTCCGAGCTTTTCCTCAGTTGTAAGGTAAATACAAGGGCACAATTCAAAACGAGGACGGCCCGCCAACCCCAACTCATCGAGGCCTTCAGCTGACGTGAGCGACTTATGTGTTCAAATTCCAGACAACTCTCCAACCAAAATCCTTTCCAAGAAGGACGAGTTGCCCTACGCGATAATTCTCATCAGCAGCAGCAACAGACCGTCAAGGCTTTTGCCACGACCAAACCCTCGTTTAAATTATGAGGCCCTGTTTACCATTTCCAGCAAAGCGTTTCTTACGCAGGAATGGTGTTTTCTTAAGACAGACTCTGGACTGTGACCTTAGATCCTGTAACTTCCTCTCCGAAACGAAAGAATTTTGCCTTGGCGTCGCTCTCTTAACGCAGTTGCGTTCCTGTCAACAGAAACCATTCTTCTTGTCAGGAGTCGAATCTAGTGTCGAGGCCTCCGTTTCCGTAATCTCCTCTTCGAAGCAGAGAAACTCTGATCCTAGCTCCATTGATCTGTCTCGCTTAGATTCGGAGTTAAAGAAACCGCCCTTGAAGGAAATCGAACTCAGGACACTTTGCCCAGAGTTATAAACTTCCTGTGTTCTCACATTTGTCTTGTGGAATAATCGCGCCACGTTTCTTCTTCACGAGCCACAAGCGAACGAGTAATGAAATGTCAAACCTCAATTTCGAGTCTATCCATGGCCGGTAGACTCTGCGGTATTTACTAAGGATGAAATACGACAGTTTCTTACAAATTCATCTTCTGGGTCTCAGACAGTTTTCGGACTTGTGACCTTAGTAAATCGAATCATTTCCCAGGATCAAGAACAGAATTTGCCTTAGCGCCATTCGTCCCTAGTGGTCGCTGTTCGAACAACAGAAAACATCTTTGCCGGGGTTCGAAGGAAGGAAATATTTTCTCTGACCCAGCGCCCGGCCCACTCAAAAATCAATTTTTAAAATTAATCACCTATACTGAAACCGGAAGTTATTTTTAAATAAGGGCAATGAAATTGCAAT